AGCAGTTTAATTTTATCATTTTCTATTACCTTCTCTATTTTATGATTCCCACCAGTTCTTGCTTACAGGTATTTCTTGCAGATCTTCCAATGCACTATTGTTGCTACTTTGTCATGCCACTGCTTGTAGTCAGTCTGTGCAATCTTCTTGCAGCAGCTTACCAAGTGGTCCACTGTTTCTTCAGCTTCTTTGCACAGGAGGCACTTATTGTCTGTTGCTGTCTTCTCAATTTTGACTTTATATGCATTTGTCCTTAAGGCTTGGTCTTGTGCAGCCAGAATTAGTCCTTCGGTCTCTTTCTTCAATTTTCCTGCTCTTAGCCATTGCCAGGTCTTGTTATTATATGCTTTCCCAGTTTTTTTTTTAATGTACTGGCCATGTAGTGCTTTGTCTTCCCATGCCTCTATTCTGTTCTTCATTTGGTCTTTCTTGTAGGCCAGTTTGGTCTCTCCAGTAGTCAGTAAGCCTTCCTGATATACTAATTTCAGTGCATCTTCATCATTGTCCTTCAGATATTCTTCCAAAGCCTTTTTTTCTTCTTCAACCATCTGATGTACGTGCAGCATTCCATGCCCTCCTATTTGCCTTGGTGGATAAAGTCTGTCAATGTCACTGTGTGGCTGAAGGGCATAATTCATTTTCATTATTTTTCTGGTCTTCCTATCCATTGCTTCTAGTTCTGCTTGAGTCCAGTGCACTATTCCAGCTGTGTATCTAATGACTGGAATTGCCCAGGTGTTGGTTGCCTTCATGGTATTTCCTCCATTGAGTTTGGACTTTAAGATCTTCTTCACTCTCTTGATGTATTCATCTCTAGTCTTTTTCTTAACCTCAGTGTGCTTGATGTTGTCAGCTTGAAGGATACCCAAGCATTTGTAGTAATCTTCCTCATCCAGACTCTTAATGTTATTTTTGATTCCTTCAGTTTTCACTATTTTTCCTTGTCATCTTCCTTATCATCATCATCATCATCATCATCATCATCATTATCATCATCATTATACTGCAAAGTTCTCAGCCCTAATGTTAGGAAAAATATTGCACTAAAATAACCCACCTAAATTTAAATGGTTTAGAAAAATTGTACAGATAGATGCTTTACTAGTAAGTTTATTTTAAGGCAGTTAGCTGTTTTTCAATTGAAAGGATGATATAATTAAATATATAATATTCTTGTAATGTGTTCTTAATTACAGTTCCAAATTTCCTAAGTTTGGTAAATTCTAATTTCCTTTATATCAGCCTTCCTTACTCTATTGTTTTCCTAAAACTGATCCTGACAATCAAGAATAATATTATATAGCAGTTTTCTCCATCATGCTATTCTTAAAACCTATTGACTTTCAACTCTTCAATTTTTTGCAACATGTCAAACTCTGATGTGTCTAGCCTTTTGTTTTTATTGGTTTTTTTAGATGAATCAATTATTCCTTCAAAGGATGACTTTCTGAATTAGAGATCTGCTAGACAGATTTTACGTAGCTCTACTAATCTATGCCACTTGCTTTAAGCAACTATTATATACTTCCTTTTCCTGTTCTTCTCAAGCCCCAGCAATAGTCTTTTTTAGTATTTTTTTCAGACTGGTGGACTTGATTCTTCTTCAGTTCCAGCAATAATCCTCTGGTTGATTCCTTCTGATCCTATGTTTTATATTGTCATTCAGAAATTTATTCTAGAGAAAGCATAATAACTAGTTTTGGCCTAATATACAATGACAAAGCTATAAATAAACTGTAAATCTCCCATATCCTAATAGAAATTATTCACAAGATATACGTAATAAAAATATATTAAAAATTTCTTTACAGACTACAGCACATTTCTTTATAGTACCCAGAAATCTATATAGGTATTCTGAAAAGCCCACATCAGTACAATCATCTGATTTCCTTAGGAAGAATAGTTTAAAAGTACAAAGGATAGAACTATATATAGTCTAACATGATCCAAGAGAATATGAGAAAAATAAGTCCTTCGATTCTCAATATGTATTTATTTGTAAACAGAATATTTTAGAATAGAATAGAATTCTTTATTCGCCACGTGTGATTGGACACACAAGGAATGTACTGTCTTCAGTACATAAGCTCTCAGTGTACATAAAAGGTGCACCGAAGACAAATTCCTTTTGTGTCCAATCACACAACTCAACTATGCCTTGTGTGGAGATGCACATCCTGCATGCTGATTGGTTGATCCAACTTTCTTAAAGGAAAGGAACTCTGGGCTCAAGAAATGCTCAAGCTTTTTAATTCTATATTGGAATTATTACCAAAGACAAACAGGTTCTCTGAAGATAACTGAAATGAAGTTTAAGATGAACTTAAAAATTATAGCCTACAAGAAAGATCTTGAAATATTGAATTTACAAATGGAATTGGATGATCATTTAAACATTAAAAAAGACATAGAAACAATATAACAAAAGACTGATGTGGATTACACTTTTAAATTGAAATATGAGAAATCTATTGGAGTTACTCTGTGGAAATTACAAATGGATTTGGATAAAGATGACAAGAATGTCAAGAGAAGAGACAATGATAGAAGGAAACAAGACTTAGATTTTTATTTATGAGACTTAGGAATGGCCTGGAAGATCAAGAAAAGAAATACAAAAAGATTTATTTGATTATGGTTAAATAATGAGTTAGTGATGCTTAATGGTTATCTTGATTGAATAGTTTTTTTAAAAAAATAACTGGGCATAATGGATTAGTTTGCAATATCTATATATTACTTTTGATATGTAAATAAAGGGTTACTATTTTGGTAATGTTTAATGGCTTTTCATTTTATTTCCAATTGTTATTTGGGATTATTAGATTTTGATTAAAGAGAGAGAAGGAGGATTTAAATTAAATAGAAACAGTGATTATATGCCAATATTGTTAGGTATTTTATTAATTTTTATTGGATCTTTGCTGATTAATAAAGAGAGCTAAAGAGTTAGAGATAAGTTAATAGAAAATAGGGTAATGAATGGAATGATCATGTATTTGGCTGTCATGTTTAATATATTTGCTGGGGATAAAAGAGGACATTATTTTACTACTACCATTTGAGGGAGAATTTTTTCTACAGTTTAATATATTTTTTCTCTTTCATTTTGTATGTATTTTTGTACTATGTTATTATATTAGTTTTATCAGTGAAACACTTAATAAAATTATTGGGAAAAAATGGAAGCATAGCGAAGTAAGAAGTAATTTAAAACTAGATTCCCTAAAACCAATTAAAGTTATATTTTAACTGAAAGAAGATTGGAGTGGATCATAAAAATGTTATTCTATTAATCAGTGCAACAATCAGTCTATAAATCCAACATTAATTCATTTAAATTATTATTTCAGGTTTATTAAAAAAATTCAAGATTTTGAGCACAAGGATATCCATCTGTACTAGTAAAAATACAGTAGTGATTTTTATTTTCTTTTTTAAAAAACTGCAATTGTCTTTTAGAAAACCTTATTTATAAGAATTACCCTGTCATCTTTTGAATTTCAATAACTATTTTAGAGATCCCTGCTACTGTTCCAATTATCTCAATTTAATGAGTACTACTGTTTTCTCTCAGTGGGTTATTAAATATTAATGATATTTCCCAGTAGGGAATTTTTGAATGATGCAGGGGAGAGAAAATATTCCAAAGAGGAAGCACTATTTTTTTTTAAAAAAATATACAACTTATTCTAAATTCTGTAATTTTAACAATCAAGGTAGCAAGCTAACCTGTTCTAGTTAATTCAACCAAATTTTCCCTTTAAAAGGTTAATTAGTCTATAGTTAATATTTTTGGACATTAACTCCTCCTCCTCCTCCTATTCATCTCACTGGGCAGTATCCCAAAGACACTTTTTCAAAAGGCATCTGGATTTTGTTTATCCTTGAAGATGTTTTGGTTCTCATTCAAAAAGCTTTTTAAGAACAGAAGATGCTTCCTGGATGAGATGTGAAACATCTTCAAGGAAAAACAAAAAAAGGTTCAGTTACTTTTTGAAAAAGCACCTTTGAGACAACCAGGACATGGATATGATATTGTTGCCATTATGGAAACATGGTGGGATGAAACCCACAAATGGAAGATACAGCTAGAGGGATTTAAATTATTTAAAAGAAAGAGACCAAATAAAAGAGGAGGTGGAGTTTCTCTCTATATAAGAAATAACTACATCACTACAGAAATAGAGCACAACAATGATGAAAACTGTCTTGAATGCATTTGGGTCAATATAAAAGGGGGGAAATTGCCATAGGTGTATGTCATAGGCCACCCAACCAAACAAAGGAAATAGATGAACTTTTTTCTAGCCAGTTAACTAAGGTATGTAGGAAGCACATCACAATAGTAATGAGGAACTTTAATTACCCTGACATCAACTGGGAGATAAACTCTGCACCAAGTGGAAGATCAAACAGATTCCTGACAAATCTAGCAGACAACTTTGTTTCCTAAAAAGTAGAGAAGGGAACTAGGGGATCAGCCATATTGGATTTAATTCTCACTAACAGAGATTAAATGATAGAAGGTGTTGAAGCCACAGGAACTTTGGGAGGGAGTGATCATGCAATATTAGAATTCAACATTATTCAAGCACAAACAATAGAACATAATTATACCAGTGTCTTGGACTTTAAGAGAGCTAATTTCAATAAACTTAGAAAGAGCTTGGGAAGGATTCCATAGATGAGAATCTTCAAGGGGAAAACAACTCAAGAAGCTTGGGAAATTTTGAAAATTGAGATTATAAAAGCCCAGTCTAGCACAATACCAACAAAGAAGAAAAATAACAGCACTCAAAAGAAACCAGTATGGCTGCATAAAGAGCCAAAGGGGCATATTAAAGCTGAATATATGTCATTTGCCAATGGCCAAATAATAGGGTAGAAAATAACTTAGTATAAATTGTAAACTCTTATGCTTAGGGAAGGAAAGATATAAAGCAAATTCTTTTTGGGTCAAACTTAAGGAAACATTATTCATTTTGGGCATTTACCATATGTACTCCTCACTTCCAGGAATTGCTCAGGAGCTATGGTTTTATCACCCAAGAACAACCTGAAAAAAAGAGAACAGAATTCTATTTCATTTCATATGAGGTACTATTGACTAACTTGGATCATTGCTAAAGTAAGGCACAATTACATTTTAATAAGACCATTAGTTTTCTGTGGGAAAGTTCTCCAAAATATCTTTGGCAAAACTGTCTTTGCTATAAATAATTATTTTGTCCCCCTCAATCACATACATGAATGATATGAGTGTAATTACTGTTTCCTGTTACATTTCATTGTTAGTAATGAGATCAAAATTTATTGTAATGAAGGTTTGAAAATGATAATATGGTAACTCCAGATATCCAAGCTTTGCTTACAGCTGCCTTCTTCAAACTGGTGTTCTCTATTTATTCTCTGTTCCTTCAGAATTCTGAAAATGATTTATAGTGTAAACCATTCAGGTAGTGCTACTTACGTTCCACTTGTTTGCCAATTTGTCATTCCATAGGATTAGCATATCAGCAACCATAGTCCTTCTTTTCCTGCAATCATCGCTTTCTTTTTTACCCTAGAAAAGTGCTGGGCTCATCATCTAGATCATGGGAAGGCAACCTGGGCTCTTTTATGCCTCGTGGACTTCAACTCCCAGAATTCCTGAGCCAGCCATGCTGAGGGCAAAGGGAGAGGTTTCCAAGCTGAGCCATGCTGGCTCAGGAATTCTGGGAGTTGAAGTCCACGAGTCATAAAAAAGCCAAGGTTGCCTATCCCTGATCTAGATTATCAGGCATAGCCTTGGTAGCTATGCATTTCCTTTTGTGTGAATTGATTTCATTCAGAAATGTGATTTTTAGATTACATTTCAATTATGCTTTTGTTTTTGAAGTTGAATCATGTGCTGAAATTTGAGATCATGACAAAGAAAAGAAAGTAGATGCTCAATTGTTTATTTCTTTAAACACTACTTCTGAGTTTTAAAATCTATTTTTCAAGGTAGATTACCCTTTTTTCAGTCTGAATTTAAATTTAATATTGGCTGAAGGAACTGGTGGAATGGAAACATTTTGAATATAATGTAAAAATTCAGTAATTTTGCAATGCCTATTCTAATAAATGCCCCCATCCAAAATTAATCTGTAATGTTAGACACAAATTCATGTTGCCAAAACTTAATAATATAGTATATTCGTAACTTCATCATTTGAATTGGAAACTTAGGATGAAGTGAGTGAAGGTAAAGCATAAGACACACAAACACATAGACTGATTCATGTTTTATACATATATAAGCTTAAAAACTTAAGCAGAAGGAAAGGAATAGTTAAAGTAATTAAAAATAATTTCAGCTTGAGGATATTCTCACCAAGACACGCATTTTTGTGAATGACTTTAACTGCCCCAGCTTCTTGATTTTCATGCAAAATTAACTACAACTCATCAAAATTTCATGGCCTGTAAACTAAGCAACTTCAGCTATGTACCATCCAGATAAAATAGTGAAGTGTGACCATGGCATTTAGCAATAACTGCAAGATGAAATCGGCACAGGGTCAGAGTGAAAGCTATAGCATAGAAGTAAAGGAAAGCAATTATATATAATGTACAAAAAAATTAGCATTCTGAAGAATTAGAATAAGGTCTGACAAATAAATTCAAGAAAAAAGATGTTTAATTCATTATTGTTACGTTAATTTATTATAAATTTGTGCCTTATTATCAGTATCTACTTCAATCTTGTATTCCTCTTATTTTATTCTAATTACCTGATCTGAGTGATAAAAATAAACTGGAGATTTTCAAGGCTTAATTTTTCTCTTTTGGTTAAATATTACCTTGTTTTTTCTTATGATGGAATCCTTTAATTCTTTGCAGAGATGTCATCATAACAATTAAAATGAGCTAATACTTTAACCAGTAGGAGGGGAAAATGAAAATCACCAATTTCTTTCTATCATCTAGGTTGAGTCAAGTTTGAATCCTGGTGACAGTCATGGCATGATCTGGCCCTAACAATGATGTCTTCCAATAACATTCCAGTAAATTGTCCTATTCATCTATCTTATTCATGGTCTTATATTTCTCTCCATCTTACCAAACATAATAATTGTTTACTGTTCCATTGCCTGTTGGTATTACAATTCAACATATGTGAATTTCTATTTGTTAAGCACCAACTCAAGGGAACATTCAGCATCTCTTTGGTCCAGGAATGATTGACTGGTTCTGGCAATCTATGATACTCTTTGTACTAAGACTAAATTATATAATTTGAAAGCAATTTCCCCTCCTCCTCTTTATTTCTTCTCAAAGTCTAACTTTCATTGGCATGTATTACTACTGAAAAAATAATTGCTTTAATTCTTTAGATCTGTTTATGCCTTTGAAATGTCCTTATTCTTTATAATTGTCCTGAGTTTGACATTATCTTTCTCCTAAAATTAATCTCCTCTTTACATCTGCATTATCCACTTTTATTTATTTTTGGAAAAAAATTATCTTCCACTTCACTTCTTCACCATCAACTGCAAGTTCACTAAATATTCAGGTTGACATTATCTGTAACTTCTTAATACTTAACATATCTGTACTTTGTTAGCAAAATGAGATATATAACTTTCTCTATTTTTTCCAATATTAGTATTCTAATATTTCGTCCATATACTACTAAAATTTTTGTGCCTGTAACCTTTACCTGGGTGAAATAGTACCTCATACGAACTTAGCAGACAACTTTGTTTCTCAAAAGGTAGAGAAGGGAACTAGAAAATCAGCTATGCTGGACTTAATTCTGGCTAACAGAAATAACATGATAGATGAGTTTGAAGTTGGGGAACTTTGGGGGAGAGTGTCCATGTCATTTTGGAATTCAACATAATGCAGACAGAAACAATAGAACAAAGTCAAATTAGTATCTTAGACTTTAAGAGAGCTGATTTCAACAAACTTAGAGAGAGCTTGGGAAGGATTCCATGCATGAAAATCTTCAAAGAGAAAACAACTCAAGAAACTTGGGAAATTCTGAAAAATGAGATTATAAAAGCCCAGACTAGCACAATAGTACTGGAAAAAAAGAGATTCCAGAAGAATCCAGTATCACTGCATCTCTGATAAATTGTAAGACAAAAAGGACAAATATAAAAAATGGAAAGAGGGATACATAACTAAGGCACAATACTAGCATATAGCCCAAATCTATAAAGGTGAATTCATGAAAGCTAAGGCTTGCAACAAACCTCAAAAATAATAAAAAAATGTTTCTTTAAAGATGTAAAAAACAGGAAAAAAGCCAAGGAAACAACTGGTCAAGAAATAGGATAAGACGGCAAAAAAAAAGTGATGGGTAGCAGGGAGGAAGCGGAACCGCTTAATTCAGCCTATTTCTTGATAAGATAGCAAAATGTGGGATAGACAGCATCAGCACTATGTGGATTTGTAATTGGCTAATGAATTGCACTCAATGTGAAGCCTTCAATGGAACTATATCTACATGGAGGGAAGCATCCAATGGGGTACTACAAGGTTCCACCTTAGGCTCAGTACTCTTCATAAAAGATTTAGATGAGGGGACAGAAGGGAAACTCAACAAATGTGCAGATGACATCAAGCTGGGGGAAATAGCAAACACGTTAAAAGATAGGTTCAAAATCCAGAAGGATCTTGACAGACTTGAATAATTGGCTCTTTTCAACAAAATGTAATTTAATGTTTTACATTTAGTCAAGAAAAACCAAATGCATAGATATAGAATAAGTGATATCTGCCTCAATATCCATAACTGTGAGAGTAGTCATAGTAGACCACCATTTCAATACAAACCAGCTGCCAAAAAAGCCAATGAGGTCCTAGGTTGCATCAACAGAGGGACAGTATCAAGTTCATGTGAAGTGTTAATATCACTTTATGCTGCTTTGGTAAGACCACACTTGGAATAATGCAGACAATTTTGCTCACCATGATACAAAAAAATGTTGAGATCCAAGAAAGAATGCAGAGAACAGCAATAAAGATGATTAGGGGGCTGGAGGCTAAAACACGATGAATGGTTGCATGAACTAGGAATGTCTAGTCTAATGAAAAGAAGGACTAGGGATGACATGATAGCAGACTTCCAATATTTGAGGGGCTGTCACACAGAGATCCAACCTAGAATTAAGGAGAAATTTCTTGACAGTGAGAACAATTAATCAGTAGAACTGCTTGCCTCCAGAGGTTGTGGATGCTCCATTAGTGAAGGTATTTAAGAAGAAATTGGACAACTATTTGTCCAGAATAGTATAGGGGCTCCTGCTTGAGCAGGTGGTTGAATTAGAAGACCTCCAAGGTCTCTTCCAACTCTGTTATTCTCTATTCTGTAGTCTAATTTTTCAAATCTCAGATGGATTAATTTACAAAATATGTTCAAAATCAGAGACCCATGACTGCTGTGGAATTGAAATCTGGCATCTCTCTCTCTCTCTAGCTCCATCTCCATCTCTCTATTATCTATCAACCTATCTATTTATCTATCATCTATCTATCATCATAGAAATGGTACATTGAATGGCAAAACTTTTTCAACCAAGATATCTCAAATGAATTAATTTACAGAAGGAGTCCAAAATTCAGAACCCATGACTACTGTGGAATTGAAATTTGGCAGACTTTATAAAACATTTTATGATATAAAATTCTCATAAAGTATTTTATGACATAATACAAAATGCCATAACACATTTCCTGTAATCAACTTTTGATGTCTGACTATGCTATACAGTTCAACATGGATTATTTTTAAAGGCAGATACATTTTGGAATATTTCCCTGAATTTTTAAGAATCTTTCAAGATTGGTAGAAGCTCTGCTCTTATTAAAGGTATTAAGAATCTGGTCAGGAAATATCTCTGAAACAATGACCCAAGGAGTCATGGGTTGTCAAGTTTCTTATAAATTTTGACATGATCTGTGGAACCAAAGGATTTGCTATTATCAATAAAGTAAACTTTCATCTTAACTTCTCCATAAATAATCTTACTTTAGTTGCCTGATCTCATGTCTTCTGTTTTTTCTTAAATATTCTGTTATTTA